TCTTCCTTACGTTTTTTTGGTCACTCACACTTTTGACTTTCTCACCAAGGTTTAATTTCCAACCATGAAGTAAAATTAATTGTACTGAGCTGAATGGAAGGATGTAAGACTGATGCTTGCTTTCCTAGAAAATCTGAGGTTTCCAATACAAAAGTAGAATGCAAGAGGCAATTTCAGTATCTGGTAATGTATGTTACAAGATTCTGGTTTGCATGATGTGATCTGCTTCCACTTTTCTCTTATATCTTGGTGTTTGTGTATGTGTGGTGTGGTGGGGTGGAGTGCGTGCTAAGTTATTCAGGCTGTTGAATTCATGCTTCTTATGTGAGGTGATGGATGGACAGAGGGCAAATCTCACATATACAAGCGGGACAAAATACCACATTGTGATATATATATATATATATATATATATATATATATATATATATATATATATATATATATATATATGTATATAGTATATATGTATATATATTACCTGGATTAGTACTAAGGAGAAATATAACATTTATTTCTGTCAGATTACAAATGTACGTGTCTGTTCAATGCTGCTAATTTTTTTAATACTGATATGATTCTAATATCACCATGACCATGCATCCCCACGTCTTATAGTTGCAACACCTTCAAATTATATTAGTAACACACAGGTGAACACTTGACATCATTTTGCATTATTTTGGTTTAATTTTTTTATGTTTGTCAGATCATAGTGTTGGGCAATATATCTGATCTGGATGTAAATTTATTTTTGGATGGTTCAGTTTGTCAAAATACAAACAAAAATAAATCATTTTTAAAAGATAAATTTTCTTTCTACAAATCTGTTTCCTACCTGGTTAACTTGTAAGGTTTATATAGGTAAGGTTTTCTTTGGTGTAATTGTAAGAAAAGCAGTAAAAACAGCCCAATCAAAGCAAGAAATGTCACAGTTGTGTTACTTCTCATTATGGCTACACAGAAAAAAACGTGAATTCATTGACTTTATTATTGCAAACCTAAATATCACCGATAATGAAGGTTTATGGCCGATTTCTTTACAGCCACTCATATTTATATTTTTTTATCTAATTTTTTTAAAAAGCGGATATTTTGTGGAGTAAATGAAGATATTAACATTAGCGATATCACACTTTTGAGTGCTTATTAGCCAAAATTGCAACAGAAATATCTTAAACTGACACTTTTTATATTCATAAATGAAAACGAAGTTGCCTATTTATGTGCATTTAGATATAGCAGCATGTAAATATAGCATGAATGAACTTAATTGACCCATGTAATTTCACGTCACAAAGGATAGTAGATCAGCAAAATAAAAAATAAATAAATTGGCCAATTGCTTGTTTGGAGCAAAAATTTTGATAGGCTGATTTTGATCATGCACCCCTCATCTCTTCTATTTGCCCAATGCTATCAAGTTTTGTGAATGTCTTGATTGCTCAAAACTCGTCTGGAAGTGTTTTAATGTGGTGATTGTCCCCTGCTTTGGGACCCCCTCACACCCTCAACATGCCTCATGCATATGGACCTGATAATAAAACATTTAGTGAATCCCTCTCACTATTGGCAAAGAACATTCTGTCTGCTCATCTCTTCTTTCTCTTTCCCTTGCCCTGTCTTCAGAGGGGGCTTTGACCCCTGTGCCAGGCCACTGTAGTCTGAATGCTGATGAGCGTTGTGCCCAGAGAGCAGGGGATGACGTATTCCTCCTTAGCTGTGTTTTCAGGGATGATTTTGAGCTGAGATGGGCAGGCCTCAGTGGAGAGAGTGGCACCTCCATTCAGCGGCTATCCAAGCATGCACTGGGGGCCTAACTGCAGCTTTGTCCTCTTGAAACGCATGAGGAGTTGGAAAGTGGGACATTAATTGTGCTGAAAGAAGCAACAGATTCCTTAGCAAAGGGTCTCAGTTGGTTTTAGAAGAATGCTGTGTGGTATGATGTGACCATGCACTAAGGAACTGTAGTAGAGCATCAGTAAACCCTGGATACATTAAATAATGACCATCAGTTAATTGATTCTATAGCACAGTTCTTTGCTTGGTAGACTGTTCGTTATGTAACAGCATGTGGTCTTGGATGTATGTTTATACAGAATAATATATGTCTTGTGCAAAACAAATGAGGTGGAAAGAATGTGTAGTCTAAAATGAGTTATCTGAAGTTTAGCCTTCAGTCTGGGGGTCTGTCTAATGAACACTGACCTTCTAGTCCAGTCCATTGAGCAGGCTTTCAGTAACTGTAGAATAATAGCAGACGTTTTTGTTCCCCATAATGCGAATAATGGGTAACATTTTCTGTCTTAATACACCATAATCACTTGGAAATGGCCTGAGATTTCCTTAATTCTCCCATATCCCAGTGTCTTGAAAATGTAGTCTCTCACAACTGTCAAGCATTTAGTACTGTTTGTAAAGATACTATTTTAAGCTACTATTTTAGGACAGAGTTCAGTTCCAGACATCTACAGTATAGCTTTGTATTTATTTTAGGAGTTCTTATTTGAAAAGCAATGGTCTGATTAGTCAAAATGCAGCATTCAGAATGGTCTTCACTGAAGTCTTATCTATAAATAACCCATTTTGGGTCAAAAGAGAGACTTTTGTCTTCCTTTTGCAAAACAAGATCCTGTCTTTCTGATAGAACCGTGTTGCTTTTATGTTGCTCTTTTTGAACAGTGACATATCCATTGCACTGTTCTCCGTCTGGAGACCCAGGCGGCGTGTATGGTTACGCTCAGCTTGTTCTCCAGTACTCAGCACCGACTGAGCTCAACACAACTGCAAGAACCTCATCTCCACCACAACATACCCTACAGATAGGGACAAAACCAGAATGCTAGTTTTGCTGGAATGCATGACTCCAACAGTAAAGTTTGGTGAAGGAGGGTTAATGGTCTGGGACTGTTTAGCAGGGTTGTGCTCAGTCCCTTAGTTCCATTGAAGCATAATGTTAATGCTACAGTATATAAAGTTATTTTTTTACAATTATATTCTTCAGAATTTGTGGCAAAAGTTTGGGGAAGCCCTTTTCCTGTTCCAGCATGACTGTGCCGCTGTGCACAAAGTGAGATCCATAAAGACATGATTTGAAGAGTGTATGGAGGAACTCCAGTGGCCTGCACAGGACCCTGACCTCAACCCCACTAAACACTTTTGGAATGATCTGGAACGTCGATTGCAAGCCAGGCCTTCTTGTCTAACATCAATGCCTGACCTCACACATGCTCTTTTGACTGAATGAGCACAAATTCCAGAGGACGCACTCCAAAATCTTGTAGAAAACCTTCCTAGATGAGTGGAGGATGTTATAAAGGGGCAAACTCCATATTCATGCCCATGGTTTTGGAATAGGATGTCCAACAAGCTCTTATAGATTTAATGGTCAGGTGTCCACATACCTTTGGCCATATAGTGTATGTTTTCTAAATAGAAACATCATTTTCTAAATATAAACACCAGAATTTGTGAGTGTAATCTAGTGTCCATTTGTCCGTGTGACACCCGTGAACGTGAAGTGAACATTGTGTCACATTAACAAGTTTGCATGACCTCAACGAGTGCCTGGAAACCATTTGAGAGAGTTTTGTAGATGTATTCATGGAAACTATTCGAGTGACCATTGACATCTGCTGCTGGTTAGCAATGTTAGCCTTGTAGCTGCAGCACTAAACTAAAGAATCAAAATTTGAACACCAAGCATGTCTTGGCTGATCGACTACATCTAAAATGACTAAAATTGTGTGCATTAGATTTTTCGCAGAACCGTTCCATTAAGGGTCTAAAACAAGACATTGCTTTACATAATATACATATATGGGCCTTGTAAATCTAAGACCTTGCAATTGTTCTATTTAATTATGATTCTTTAGAACACAATTCAGTGCATCATAAAATATCACATTTGTACACAATTCAGTTAGATTAATTTGGTATGGTATGGAATTATTTTTAAACATGCATGAAATTCACAGATGTAAGGAAAACAGAGAATAACAATATGCAAAGCTTTTTTATAAATTCCAGTCTAAAATCTGTGTAGTGGCATCTCCCCCTTCATTGCATCACATTATTGCACCCCGATGCTTAGTGATAGTGACTGAACTCTGTGACCCGCCTTTTCTTTCATGCTGTGTATCTTTGTGTAATAGATGTACATCGTTTCTACAGAAACAGCAACAATGAGAAAACCCCACATTGAATGGTTTGTGCTCAGAGACTAGCGTGCATGTCCACGGTAATACTCATAAACAGCGTAACCCATATTTGACTGTGGCCTATATCTGAGGCTGGTTAGTAGGGCTGAGAGCTACAGGCCATGCTGATGCAGTGTCAGAGCGAGTGAGTGTGTCTCGTACTCCCTCTCGCATCGCTGAACTTTCCAGCCTCGTTGCCTCCCAGTCAGGAGCTTGCTACCACTGTCATCATCCTGCTGTGCTGTGATGCAATGGATGAGGTAACAGCCTACAACCAGAGCAGCCATCGTAACAAATTTGTTGTCTGAAGGTGATTTAAATTCAGCTTTCTTTGTGTTGCTGAATTTAATTGAAATGAGTAATGTTAAAGGAGTACAGTCTGCAAACTGGCTCTTTTTGCCTGCATTTTCACTGTCACTTTAGCTGAAGTGGGCTCAGGTGGCATTAAGCCTTTTCTAGGAACCTTTCAATGCGCACCGTATGGGGCCCTCTTTCTCCGCGCTGCTATTTTCCGCCTGCATTTGCACAGGGGATTAAATGACTCATCTCTTGCTTTTCACTGCGTTTAAATGGGATTTTGGCATGCGTTCAGTGACAGCCAAAGTTGGCCAGATTCCAGAGTCTTAGTAACGACTATAATGTATTTGAAATCTTCCATCTAATTATCGATTTACATTTATTCCTGTCAGAGGCATTCCACTGTAGTTCAGAATTGACGTTATGGTAACTCACTATTATACACTACTTTTACCTGTAGCAGAGACCTTCCTCTCATCCATCATCCTTTGTGCCTCCCTACAGGAGTGTCTTCCCGCTTCCCAGAGATCATGGCAGCAGGCACCCACTCTCCTGGAGGGCCCAATGGAATCATCCGCAGCCAGTCGTTCGCAGGCTTCAGTACCTTGCAGGAGAGACGCTCACGGTGAGGACACCTGCCTGTCACAAGCACTAACAACTACACAGATAATCCATACAACATACAGTCACCACAAGCCAGTGGAATTCAGTTAACCTATCCATGCTGCCCTTTTGAAGCCAGTGTTATGAAGTTAGGCAAGCTTTATAGACCATTAGCAGAATCCCATTCAACCTGATGAGAAATTTTAACACCCAGCTCAGTTTTTTTTAAGAATGTAATAATAATGTGGCATTAATTTAGAATGCTATTTATGCTATTTGCTCACAAACGTACTGTTATTTTTTCTTATTATTCTTTACACAAAACTTGGCAATGCTACTTCTTCTACATTTTTTGAGCTAGAACCATGAAACTCTGCAAGATCATAGACGCTATATCTGAATAGGTTGCATATGCTTCTTTAACTGATTTGATGTATAGTGTCTATACAGAGTTCAAACACAATCCACTCCATAGAAGTGAACGGGAGGTTGCTTAACATCCGTTATATAGTGCTTATTCCACTACTACTTTGTAGCCAAATGTTTTTGGACACTCCTCTTATATCACCATCATACAAGTAAGCTAGCAACAAATATTCTAGCAGCCACCTGGGATACCATAACAATGGCCTAGCAACACCTTAGGAACCACCTGGGATAGCAAAGCCATGGCTTTGCAGCCCACTGGGATGACATAGCAACCACCTAACAGTACCTGTGCAGCCACTTAAAATAACATAGCAATGGCCTAGCAACATTTTAGTGACGCAACGGCCAAGCAATGCCCTAACAAGAAGCTGAAATACCATAGCAGCTACCTGGAATTACTATTTAAACCCAGTAAAGTTACCAAAAAAAAAATCAACAGTGTTCTGCAACTGCTCCAAAGTGTTATTAGCTGGCTTTGTTAAGCCAACTTAAATTTTGTTTACAATCTCTCCCTTTCTAGTTTAGCCTGCAGTAAATTGACATGATGGCAAATATATCATATTTTCCATCCTGACTAGTTTTGAAGCAAAATAGTCCAGCTCAGTAGTGTAGCAAACTGGAAATGTAACTTGATGTTGTTTGTCTAAACTAGAGGTCTGCTCAGGCATAAAACTCAACCTGTACACATGACTGAGTTAGGCCTGTCTGATACTAAACATGGAACCTGAAACTGGCCCGAACCCCGTTACATGCGCTAACAAAGATGTGTTATAGCAGATCCGGTTTTAAGGCGTTACTAAAGACTTAGGTTGATCAACAGAAAATGTCATGCTGGGATAAACTGGTATTTTACCCAGCTAATACACTAACAGTATTTATTGTCAGTATACTTTTGTGGGATTACTGATTGTACCTGGCAGAGAACAGCATCCGACCTCCTGATCAACTTTTAGCCCTTCTGTGCTAAAGTTCCTCTCGCTACTGCTGATACTGTAGAAGTGCGTAACACACTTCAGGCGAACTTAACAAGCAAGAAGAATGATCTGCTGTGACTTTCCATCAGCCCAGCACATCCTTCTTATCACTGCGACTGATGTAATGTTGAATTTCATTCCTCGTTATGTTCAGAGGCATGTTCACCCACTTCTCAAACTCTGGAAAGAGCGCAAAAGAAACAACATATGTGAGAATGTGCGAAACTTATGTAGGCACAAGCGCATAGTGAAAACAAATCTAGTGCAAAAAAAATATATCACTCATTAGAAAACAAACTTGAGCCTGACCCAAGCCCGATATCGAATGTGAAAAATCTGTCAGAACCCGGCCTGAAACCCAATGATTTGTTGGACCCTGTCAGGTACTGGTCAGGTAACAGACCTCTAATCTAACTCATTCATTAGGTACATTGAGATTTTTGCCAATGTTCTGTTCAGCTTGTCCAACTTTTGCAACAGGTTTTACCAACAAATGCATTTTTTGGCAGATCAAGGATAGGTCACCTCCATTCAATTCAACTTTGTCATTGCACCAGAACAGCTTGTTCTCACTGATGCAACATGCATGGTACACAGGCTAATACAGAAGTGTAGGACAAGACAGTGTAGAACGATAATAAAGAGCTAGACTGTTACAGGGGAAGGTATTTGGGAACTAATAATTCTTTATCCTTTTTTTAATGAAACTGTTGCCTCTATTACAGTATATGTTGGAGATGACGTTCAGTGAGAGCTATAAAATGCTTTCCGAACTACAGATTTTAACCCACTTTTCTAAACTTTCTGTGTGTATGAATAGGGTGTCAGGAGATTAAATCACAGAATAGTGCATAATGTGGAGGTCTATTATAATCTGATGATAAGGGAGAGACTATGAGTGTAGTGATGACTTCAGAGTGCTCTCTTATCTTAACGTGACATAGTGTAGTACGTGTGCATGTGTGACCCTTAGGCAACAGTGTGTGCTCATTCACCACACTGGCCTAGATTCAATGCAGTGGAACTTCCAACAGTGTGTGTGTGTGTGTGAGCGTGTGAGTTACACATTGAGACATGTCAAGCAGTGAAACTGACTACCTAGATAGTCTTACATCTTAGGAATGCAGCAGTTTATTATGTGGTGAATCACTGTTGTTGCAGAAGGAGGCTAATATGCACTCAGCTGCTTTACTCTGTGGTTTGAGTTTCAGATGTTTAGAACATTAATACAACTGTAGAGCCCCTTTCCTTGAGTGTCAGTTGTGTGATTTAGAGCACTCCTGTAAGCAGGTAGCTGTGCATAACTGGTTATTCATATAGGGCTGGTTTCACAGGCATGGATTAAGCCTGGTCTTGGACTAATTTGCAGTGGCAATGGTCCATCACCTTGGAAATGCATTGCAGTTTAGGTCTAGGCTTAATCTGGATCTGGGAAACTGGTCCATAAAGGATTAACGATTTAGCACCTTGAGATTTTCACCTAAATAAAAGGTGCATTATAAATAAAATGCATTATTATTATTATTATTATTATTATTATTATTACTATTAATCTCTGGAAATTCTGTTGTTTTTATCATTTTGTAAAACAATTTAGGTGTAATTACTCAATTGTATGATTACTTGCATACTTATGCAAGGAATTACATTTACATTTGAGTCTATAGGTCAGATGTGTTGTTTTTGTTTTGCTGTCAACAAAGCCTCATTTTTGTTTTCACTGAGCTGTAAGTGAGAAATGGTTAAAACAAAACATGCTTTTATTTTCACTGGCGATAAACTAGGGCTTTGTGATCCACTCTTCCCTGAAGCGAATCATAAGTGTCGGTCCAGTTGCACTGAAACCCACAATGGAGGTCATTTGTGATTGTGAATGTGTACTCTTGTGTGTTTCCAGGTGTAACTCGTTCATGGGGAACTCAGCAGTGCAGAAGAAGCCCGTCTCCAAGCCCAAGAAACCCCATCTGTCTGGGCACAAGTCCAGTAGCAGCAGCTCACATGAGCCACAGCCCAAGAGAGTGGAGGAGGTGTATGGAGCACTGAAACAGGGCCTGGAGTGAGTGCAACCCAGATTCAAGTCTTCCAATCAGTACTATACAGTAATACAGTATTTGCTCTTCAAATAAAGGGGGGCATGGTTAACGTCATTGTCCGTGTTTTGTTAGTCCTGGTGGTCAAGTACCCCAACACTGGGCATGTTCTCTCACCTACTTAACTCATTTGTTAATTAATGACCCCTTTATGAGCTTAATATGGGTATGTTAGAGCTGTGCAGCGGTACTTCAGGACCACAACTGAGCACTGATCTGTGTCATTGTCGCACAGATTATCAGGGTGTTTAAAAAAGTGAGATTTCCCATAGTTAACCATTAACTTAAATCAAAGTCAAAATGTAAAAAAGAAAAAGGCAAAAAAAGTAAAGTAAAAAAAAATGGTCAAAAAACTGTCAAAAATGTAAAAAAAATGTCACTAAAGGGCACTGTTTGTTCATAAGGCCTTTCATGACAACTGACATAACTTTATATATTTTTAGAAAAGCTTCAAAATTGACTAAAGCAGCTTTTATGGCAGCTGTTGCTTGTTGGAAGACTCTGTAAATGCTAATGTAGGTTCATGTCAGTTGTTGTAAAAGGCTTACGTATGCATCATGTTGCCATACGAACGCCGCCCCAGATTAAAGTGTTGCCAGAAAAACTCTAATTGTTGAAGAACCTTAACATAATGATGAGGTTCCTTACGTTTTAGTTCCTTAAGTTTTTTCATACTCTCCCATCTCATTGACAAAATGGTTCCTTAAACAGAGACATTATACAAGACCAGAAGACAGTTTACTGGTTGCAATATGAATGGGGCAGCATGTATGGCTCAGCATGGCGTCCGTAAGTCTCGTCCTTCGCTAAAAAGACCCATTCGGCTTGATGTTAGAAGTACAAACTGGAAAAAGGCACCCTCATTGTTGAGATGTTGATGAAAAAATCTCATAATTTCATCCAAACACAACAAATGAGATGGAGTCAGATTTTAATCGGAAGTTTTTAATCCAGTGTTTACCTGGCTCTCCATTTCAGGTTTGTATTCAAGTCGATAGGAGCCTGGTCATGTATGAGGAAATAATTGCCTGAAGGCTATTGCTAAGATTGCTGCAGAGTAGACAGACTTTGCTGTAAATTCTTTTAGTCAACTGAAAGGATCTTTTAAGGAACAAAAATGTATTCAGTAGAAGAAGAAGAAGTAAGGGACATCTCATTTGGACAGTCCTCACTTTTGGTTTAAATTATCCATCTTCACTGAAGCACTGCTTTGTGAAATAACCTCCTTTCACTGAGTGCCATGGCTCATTGTTCACAGCGTTGCCTCTGCTCTCTGTTCTCTCTGCATCAGTGAGTATCTGGAAGTGCACCAGGTGGAGCTGGACAAACTCACATCTCTCATGAAGGATATGAAGAGGAACTCGAGACTGGTGAGACAGAGCGTGACCACCCTTCTCTGAGTTAATGTTCTTGTCTTCCAGGAGCATGTTCAGACTTTGATTAATGGCTCGAAATGCTGTACAAATGTCGTGTCATCATGAAGAGTTACTTAATTGTCATTGTCTGATTATTGGAGCAAAGTCAGTGTTTTGCATGAGTTAATGCTTCTGTTGGAGAGGTTACAGTGCACTGATGATCTGTGTGTGTGTGTGTGTGTGTGTGTGTGTTTGTCCTCAGGGAGTGCTCTACGATCTTGACAAGGTGAGTAAGAGGAGGTTAATCATAAACACTTTTCTAAACTTCTCTAAATGTAGGGATTACAAAATGTAAATAGTTCAGAAATGCAAGAGTAAGATGAAGCAAAAAATGAGCAGCTTTGCAGAGATGATATGCAGGTGCAGCCTGTTATTTCAACACAGTGAATTGCCACAGGTGTTTGCCTTTGGGGAAAAAATGTTTGACTTTGACCCAGTTTGATCCTTGTGTGACTGCTTATACTCTCTTTGGTTTTGTTCTTGCAGCAAATTAAGACTATTGAGAGATATATGCGACGGCTAGAGTTTCACATTAGTAAGGTAAGTAATGATGTAATCATGTTATAGACTACTCTTGTAATATTTTATTAAGCACAGATGAACTGTGCCCATGGTCCAGTATTTAGTAGTGTTTATCAGTGTTTTAATATTACATTGATTGGCTCTTGATTGCCTAACAGGATGCAGGGGATAAGGTGGTGCTCATGTTTTTACATACAGACAAAAAAAACACACACTCACCTTTACTGGAGAATTATCCCACAAATATGTGATTGTTTCATTGTTTATGTAGTTCTTTAATTATCTTTATCCCCTTTTGAACTGTCCCAGAGTGAGTGCAAATCATGTATTAAATATGTAGTTTATAGATTTTCATTTTGATTCATGTTAGAGTTCTTCTCAGTCAGGATTTATCATATCAAATTTAATCTTTCTGGTTAAAATGATATATACAGTACTGTGCAAATCACATACTACTTTTAATTTGATTCATTTTCAGTCAGAACAGCAAGTAAAAAAAAGTTATTCATGTTTCAGTGTCAGGGGAAAAAGCAGAAAACTTGTACTGAACAAAACAGAAGCCTCAACAACTTAATATAATGTCAGTTTTTTTTTGTGTTTAGTTTGTCTGCTCTTGACCTTTATTACTACTTAGATTTTTTTCATGAGACTTTCTTTTAGTTTTTCAAAGAAGGGGTATCTGCAGGGGTATTTTTCCACACATGTAAAGTTCAGCCCTAGTATTTGGTTGCATTTTATGCTTCTCATGGTCCAAGTATCTCATTCAGAGATGCTGAGGTTCTGAGAACACCAGCTGTTTAATTTGCAGATTTTGTTCTTTTTTGTCTATTTCCTTTTCTCAGTAAATTTTAGAAGCTTTCACTTATTTTCCTTTGAATTTCCTCTTCTTTATGTACATGAAAAATGAAACAGTTCTATGCATGTGTGTTGGTGCGTCTGTGTGTTAACAAGTATGTGAGGACCAGTTGACCCTTTTTTATCTTCCTCCTACCTCTGTTTGACATTTTTCATCTCTGTCTTTTCCCTCCTGTTTTTGTGGCCATGTGCACTTCCTCCACACACCAGCTCAATATACACAGAAGCACATCAGCCAAGTGCAGTCCCACGCACCAGCAGCTGGGCCTTGGTGTGGATTATTTTATGGAGGCTAAGCATCTTTTCATCGTTTCCCTCCTTTTCCCTACTGTTTTTGTGGCCATGTGTACATCATTCACATGCCAACTCAATACACACAGCAGCACATCAGCCAAAAGCTATCCCACGCACTAGCAGCTGGGCCTTAGTGTTTCTGTGGACCGTTTTACAGAGGCTAAGCACCTGACTCTGTGCACCAGATTAAAACATTTAAACTCTTAGTAAGGCCAAGCGATCTCCTGGTAGTCTTCACAGCTGTGTGAACTGGAAGTGCAGACTCTTTGTTTTGAACCGTTTGACACCTAAAGTGTTGTGTGACTTTGAGCAGTGACTGTGTGCTATTGGCGGTTGCGCATCATTGTTTGTGGTAATTGGCCTGACTCATTTCCGGAGTCCCCTGGTCAGTTTCTCTCAAGCCCCGCTGTGCTGCCTTCCTCTCCACAGTGTCCTGCTGACAAAGGTGTGTGGCCGCTTCACAGCGGAGCACTAATTGGCAACCTGAAAGCACTTCTGCTCTAGAGGTAGTCATAGCAACCTGAAGATGGAAGCTTTTGAAGCCATTCTAGAGCAATTCATAGCTCGAAATTAGCCCTATGTCCTTTCTACTCTGCTACTCTGAAAGAACTGGGTGGCTGTCCACATGTCTCAGAAAGACAACTGAATCATCGATTGTGCATTGTTTATGGTCCTGGAGATTGCATAGAACATTGTGCAGCTCCCTTACGGTGATTCAGGGGGCTGTTTTGTTCTGTTTACCCAAATGCTTGGCAGCGGTTTACATTGTTTGTGATTGGCTCTGGATCTAGGTCAAAGCAATCCTCCAGAGTGGTGATGGGTAGACCTTTGACGACTGTGTTGGGGGCTTTAATGAGGATGTAGAAGTGCGTATATTCGTGCTTGTGTGTGTGTTTTTGACTGTGTGAGCTCATCCACATTGGAGAGCAGTGTGTTCTGTCCCATGTGTTCTGCTCTGGTGGAACATTGGGAGTGTGTGTGGAGGACAGCTTGTGTGTTCTCGTGTCCTAGTGGCGGAAGCGAGAGAACGTCTGCAGAGACACTTTTACACCCCATTCCCATCTGCATTTTGTTTTAAGTGCTTTATGCATAAAAAGATTTGGCTCGTGAAGGAATAATATACCCTGGCACAACTTAATTGTAGGGGTTGAAATCTTGCCCTAAGAAATGGGACAACTCTCAAATAATATATATATATATATATATATATATATATATATATATATATATATATATATATATATATATATATTATTACTTTATTAACAGGCTACTAGCGCTGCTCTGTAGGTGACCCGGCCCGTCTTCAGTGATAGCAGAGAAGGGAAAAGTTCAGCAACCTCACTGCTGGGCTTTAGATACATTTAGGGCGTCGTATCCTTTCAAAGAGGGGGTTTAAGACAATTATATGTTATCTCCCAACTGCTAATTCTTTGGTGATACGAAGCTGAAGCTATTCACCCGCTTCTGGTTCACATTTTCCCGTTCCACCTTAAATGGTGCAGCAGTTACATTCTTGTGCTTCAGGCGTCAGCACTGATGGGCTTTTTAAGGTGGAACGGGAAAGTTAGCTAGCTACCGAGACATTAGCATGCTATTAGCGATTTTTTTATGCTTGTTATGAAGAAAACGACCACAATACATTGAAACGACATTAAACTAATATAAAGCAATGTCATAATCATAATCAATTATCATAGTTTTTTAACAGAGAAAATACTCACATTTGTGGGTTTCTTTGGTCGCTTGCGCAGCCATCTTGCCGGTTTTTCTTTTTTTCTCGTAACGCTCCGTTTGGAGTGTGCCTCTGAAAAATCTCTGTTTGTAGGGCCACGTAGCCCTAACACTTCACCCTACCCCTCTATCTCCACAAAAATTGGGACACCCTACCCCTAGACATGAACGTGCAAAACAGAGGGCTAAGGGCTAAGTGGTAGGGGCAAGGGGTGAAATGGGATTTGGCCTTAGTGTCACTGGCTCTAGAAAGTGCAACACATCGTACTTTTTTCCTCTTTTCTTCCTTCTGTTGGGTTTGATTCCTCATCAGCCGTTAGCGTTACCATGCTAGATACCGACACAGAAAAAGAGTCCCAAGTGTTATAGGCTTATTTGATTAGATGTAAGAGCCTGCTCTACTTAGCAGATAAAGCACAGAGTCTTCCACTGGGCAGAGTAATGTGGGTGTCCAGCTGATGCCTATCACTGCAAAACACTCCTACAGGCTCAGCAGACTGGCATCGCAAGCAGACCTTTAATAGTAGCACTGGCTGAAGGGCCTTATTCAGACTTGGTCATGTCATTTTGTTGGGTTTTGTCATTACATAGTTATAGCTAGTGTTGCATGATGATGTATCAAATAAAGCAACATAGTAAACAAAATGAGGATTAAATTTTTTTTGATACCCAAAGGTACCACTTACTTTTTTAAATGCATGCATAATTAAATCGCTAGGATGGGCTAGGATGATTCTAGAAAACTTAGAGTTGTTCACAGTGGTGGTGATAGGAACAAAAAAAGAGCATTGAACATTGCTCTAGTCCGAAAATGGCCCAGCAGCTGTAGCTGTAGTCGGCACTTGGTCATCTGTACATTCACATGTCGCACACTTGCAGAATAAGAGAAATGTCCAGGCTCTGTACAGAAACACTTGTGCCTGGATCAGTTCTGCAACCACAGGTGTCCCACCCATTCACAGGAAATAGGGCAGGGCAAACAGGAAGTCTTGCGACAGGTGGTCTTGAGCAGGTTGGTAGAAAAGAGGAAGAACAGATGAGGGTGAAAGGGAGGAGTCTCTTTTCCTTTTATCTCTTCTCAAAGCTGTGATGTGTTCCTCTGAGGAGGGTTAAAAATAACCCTGCACTTTTCCTAGAGGAACTGTTTCTCAGAAACAAGCCCATCGCTCCTGGGGACCCTCTGCGAGGGAGATGATTTGAGCACCCATCAGAACCGTGAAGTGAGAATGGCACCAGAGGAAGGAGTAGGTGACAAAACCTAGTGAGCTTTAGAGAGCGAGGGACTTATTAGAGGTGGGATATTGTAAGATAGCTCCTGGGCAATATGACTTTAGCCCTTGAGCTCAGTTTGCCTCATCTATTGCATTACATACACCTGTAAAATCCAGTTTACTCTCAGGTTCACTATAAGATTAGCCTAAAATAGCAGTGATGTCCTCTTGGTGATCCTGAGGTTCAAAGCACCAGTCTGTTTATTTGGCTTAGTCTTCTCTCTCTCCCACACTCCTCCATGTTCTTTGATCTTTCAATGTCACTCAGAACCAGTACCCTCAATGTGGGTGAACGGAAGGTCTTAATTTTGGTTTAATCGGGCTAGTATCAATGGGATGATGTGGAGAAGTGGTCCTAAATCCTATAAGCACAGCTGATAATGCACCCATAACTTAAAAGGATTTTCTCCTCTTTTTTTTAGACTTAATATTCTGTTTAGTAGTTTGTTATTCCACAAATATAGGTAATAAGATATGTATGAATTAGGGAAATTTTAATGTGTTCCAATAGTCATGAAATTAAAAAAAAACTGAATAGTACATTCAGTTTTTATATGCAAATGAGCCTCTGTCTAACATTATACACTTGCATATTGAAGAACCAGATGTCAAACTGTATGCACTGATGTAGCACTTTATTTAATTCAGGTTTTTTTCAGGCATCTGATTTTTCATTTATAAATTTAAAATGCCAGTTTGTCTCATTGAGGAGTAAATAATGTTAATATTGCAGGTTTGGCTAATTAAAAGTACTGTAAATGTGCTAGTGTGCTTCATATCTTCTTTTAGCCCCCACAGTCTGAGCTTCAGGTTAAACAAAAGGCTAATGAACGTTGGCCAAAAAAAACTTGGCCATTGAACAGT